TAGTTGATTTTGAAATAGAGCTAACAACTTAAGTTAGGGTAGAGCTGTTCTTATGGGGTTTCCAGGGAAGCAGACTGATACTTTGCTCTCCCAGGGAGAGGCTTGTGGGTTTGAACTTCTGACCCTGCAGCTAGCACCAGCCCAGTGATTAACTGACTCTGCCATCAGGATTCCTTCTCATTCAATCCACCAGAAAACCCACTCCCATTAAGCCGATTCGGACTCATAGTGACCCTGTAGAGCAATGTCTCCCAAAGTTGGCAATATCACTCCTTGGATGGTGCTGTAACAGTATGACATTATGGGGGGAGGGGAGGGGGCGCTGCAAAATTGGATACTCACACTTGATCCTGGTTTATGGGCTATAGTACAGAAGAAGCATTTCGCTATCAAAGGGCTGCTGAGTAATTTTTCTTCTGAAAAGGGGATGGTAGACCAAAGCAGCCGGGGAGCCTCAGACTGTAAATTTTATGGGAGCACACAGCCTTATCACACTCCTGAGAGGGCAGGTGGGTTTGAACCACCAGCCTCATGGGGTTAGCAGACCGATACTTGTCCAGCATCATCTCCAGAGCTCCTTCTCAAATTTGAATTGCTTTAATATTTTTGTTTGGAAGATGTAATGGAGGGAACATGATTTAAAAAGCCCCTCCCTCCATAGAGGCCTCAGGTCCCCCTAGCTGATGGAAATCTCCTCTCCAACATGGTCTACCAATGGGCTGATCGACCCATGGGGAGGACCTCAGTGAGCAGATCAGTACACGCTTCTGGCCCGACCTCCCTGGGTGAAGATTTTGCTCTGTGCGTTCGTTTCCATGATGATCACGAGAGGAGTGAGCAGGACAATCTAGCCCAGTGATAAGATAGGTACAAGGAATCCTGGTGGTACCAGCAATTAAGGGAGGAGTTGGCCGTTTCAATCTGCCTAGAAGCACAATGGGCACAAGGAATGGCATTCTGCTTCCATCAAGACCTACAGCCAGGAAAGCAGCATGGACAGCAGTACTTGCCTGTGAGGTCCCTGGGAGATGGAAGTAACTCAGTAGCGCCCAACCACCGCACGCTCTGTGGGGACAGCCCTTGGCACAGTGCATGTCAAGAACGCTTGCTCAATGAATGGTAGGAAGTGCTCTGTGGAGTCTGGTCTAAAGTCAACAGGGTAATGGCATCTCCTTCTCAATGAGTTATTTCTTCAATGATTTTCTGAAGGGTTTCTTCACGCACAAAGCCCCCCTCCTGACAAACGATCTCCCTGGAAAAGTCAGCTTTGAAAGGAATGTGGGTGATAACTTAGCAGATTCCCCACCTGTCTTCATAGTTAGAGTGCTCTAGAGCCAAGACTCCTTCCAGAGGTGCCTGCTGAGGGCAGTGCGAAGGGTGTCTTCTCCACCTGGTCAGGAGCTCTCCTCGTGGTTCTAGAGACAGGTTTCTACAGAAAACTAGGTCTCCATTCTGGAAACTCCAAGTGGGATGAGCAGGGTCCTTGTGTCTCGTCTTAGCACCATGGATTCAGTGTCTGTGGCCACTCCTCCTGAATTCCCCTTTCGTCAACCAATGACCAGGACCTGCCTGCCAAAGAGGCTACAGGAGAGGTGTGATCCCCATGTGTCTGGCCAACAAAGAAATGCAGGTTGAGTTACAAAGAGTGGGGGTCCCATTCTGGCCACTACATCTCTCCTATTTGATGAGATTTGTTATCTCCAGTTCTCTTTCTCTGTACTTGAACTTCAAAGCAACTTGCTCCATCTCAGATGGCCCGTAAATGGGTCATTGACGACCTTCTCGGTCAGCCAAGTGTTTACCCCAAATGATGAGAGAGAGAGAGAGAGAATATGAATCACAGAATAACCATGGGACTGAGGAGTCTGCTGTCCCTACACAAGTTCAAGGGCAAAGGGGTGGTGGTGGTGGTGGTGGTGACTGGAACACCACATGTGTGGTCTATGTAGAGTTTCTCATGGTAGAGGGGTCTGCTTCCTTGTGCTAAACCAGGGGCTACAAACTAGTTCCTTCTGTTTCAAACCCTGTTGAGACTGCATTTTTTAGGCCAGGTCTACTGAATCCACACCGATAGTTTCACACACTCCCCAGGGCTTTTTCAGACCTTATGCAGACCTAAGAATCACCCCGTGGTAGCTGGAAAGCTATGGATTCGAATTCAGTAGCTCTAGAGTGGAAACGCACAGTCCCAGCTGTGTCAGCCTGGAACAAATCAGTTTGAAGACCCAGCCAAATTCGAGCCTCCTCTTTCCTCTCAGTGCAGACCTGAGGCTTTCATGCTCAGCAGCAGTTGCACCTGATTTTCATTAAGTGGGTGGGTGCTATGGTTGTAGAGGATGAAGGAAGTCCGGCTGAGGCCGTCTCAGCCTCGCCTGCACCTTGTGAACACCTGGAGAGCTCTTACCAACATTTCAGAGGACCAGGCTGCCCTCAACCCCAATGCCACTGCTTTATCTATGAGCAGGTCTCAGGTGCCAGTCCATTTCTAAGGACTTCCAGGGCTGAGTTCATGTTCCTTGGAAAGGGTGAGCCACCAAAGGAAGAGACTCAATTTCTTTAGACCCACGTCCAGAAATCATAAGAACACTATAGGGGAAAAAATCCTAAATATATGCTGTGTTGGTGGTGGTGGTTAGGTACCATGGAATTATTGGTTATCAATCATAACAGCCGTACAACAGAAGGAAACAGCGTTTCCTGCCCCATCCTCCACCATCCTCACAGTCCTTGAAAGCGTGAGCCCGGGTGGCACTGTGAGCCCACTGTCTGAATCCACCTCCTGGAGAGCCTTCCTCTATTTCCCCGACCCTCTGCTTTACCAAGCAGGAAATCCCCAGGGACCAGTCCATCCCGATAGCAGGTCCAACGTAGGCTGAGACAAAATCTCATCGCCCCCACTTTTTGGAAGCCTCTGGCTGTATTTCTACGGTAAAATATAAGTTAGCAAAATAGTAATAAGAGAGGGAAGGAGGGAGGATGAGAAAAAGGAAAAAGTAGAGAAATAATAGCTCCTCATTTTGTTAGCATCCAGGTGTGGTGCCAAAAAGAGGACTACCATGCCGGAAACCCAGCATCTCTCTAAAATTCCAGAACGATTAGGAAAAGTTTCATTGCTTTGTAATCAGACTCATAGGTTACATTTAAAAATTGCTCTCCATCTGTGTGGGTTGCCAACCAGAGACTTGCCTCGTTTCTAGGGGAGCGTTCCCTAAGGAAAGTGCGGTCTGGAGAAAGTAGAAGGCTTCTCAGAAGCGGGAGGGAAGATCAGTCTTCTCACTGAATTGGATCGAGTGACCGAATGGAGGTCCTCTTCATAGACGCATGAATGTCCATTTGGAAGAGCTTGCTCTTTTGAGAAAACCAAGCCTTCATCCTGGATAGCTGGCAGCATAGTGCTTACAAATTGGACTGCTAGCCACAAGGTCAGCAGTTCGAAACCACCAGCCACTCTGCAGGAGAAAGATGAGGCGAGGTAGTCCCGGAAAGAGTTAGTCTCAGAAACGCACAGGGACATTACTACCTAATCCTCTGGGTTCTGCCCTCACTCGGAGTGTGAATCGACTCGAGGGCAGTGAGATACCGTCCAGTTTATTTGGTCTGTTCTGTTGTGATCATGCTGTCGTTCCAACAGTCTTCATCTCACTCGCCCTTAGTAAGTCAAAGATGAGTAAGTCCAAATAGACAGTCAACCCAAACACCTCCTTGGCTTTCAGGGATATTATTGTTTTATTTGTCTACGAAGCTCGGGGTACGTGAAGCCAGGTGTCCCGAACAACAACAACAAACTAGCAAAAACCCAGTGGAATGAACTTGCATTGTTTTCAAAGGAGAGGGTAAAGGACTTTGATCATGTGGAAGAGAAAGCGAAAGAAACGTAGTACTCTCAGAGCACGTGCGTGTTTTGTTGAAATGGCATTGTCATAGAAATTAGCAGAGTTTTCGATTAAATGTTACTGTCCTATAGTAGCCCTAATTAGAGTTCAGAATATCTCTCTTGCAGCAGTAAAGCTTTCTTAAGATGTTTAAGAACTATTTGATCATTGAGTGCTTTTCAAAGCATCAAAACACATGGGTGCGGCCAATCCAATTGAGACCAAAAAAAAACCAACTGAAGGCAAAGGCTTTCTCTTGGTTCCTGAGGACCACAGTCCTAGTGATCCCAGTCAGAGCCCGGTGGCGCCTGTGCATTGGTGAGCACGGCCATTTTTCTAATTTGCCTGGCCCTGGCTTTCTTATAACCAGAGAAAGCACCTGAATCAGAACAACCTCCCTTTGTGAGGTGCCTGTTGGAAACATCTTAAGAGCGTTTTCTCATTTTTCTGGACTTCTCCCATGGCAATACAATAGCATTTTCCATGTTTCTTTCCTTTCTAAAAATTTTTGTGTGTGAAATGCCACAGCATTAAAGAGACCGTGTCAAGACGGCCTGTGTTTTAAGGAATAAATTCCCTGAAATACTGTCCATGTAGCAAGCCTCGTTTGGTGATGAGATGATGACCCATGGACACGATATGCCACAGCGTGACACGATATGCCCTTCTGAAATGACAGCATTTCGTTTGCATTCTTTTTATTGTTTTTAAACATATATTATGCTACTAAAGGATGGACTCTTCTGATATTCTAGATAGCAGTAGTCTACTTTTTCCTAAGAGAGAGGCCTTTTTATTTTTCCAATGTAATCTCCTTCAAGCATAGACTTGCTCGTCGGCACTGCTGAAAACACCCCAGGCTTAGCGAGATACCCTGGCATGACTCCCTTGTAAGCTAAAGTATTAATATCCCAGTGCAACAGCTTGTCCATGGTCCATATTCTGACATCACCATGATTTCTGTGGAAGAGTCTCCACCCCTCCCCCACCTGCTGCATGCCTATGTCATGATCTCTCGGCACCCTCTCCACCCTAGGCACATCAACACATCCCCTTGCAACTCAGCCTGCCCTCCCTCATCTGTACACATTGAACCAATTGGCAGAGAACACATTTCCCCCCTGAGCGAGCAGTATTGTGAATTTTATCTTCTCTTCCAGAAATCAGTTGGTCTTCGTTGCAGCAGATGAAATTTCTTGTAACACCTCTGCAGGTAACAAACATTGCTACTTCTTGATGCCTCCATCCAATCGCAGTATCTTTATTTTTATTTATTTATTATTTTTGTCCCCACATGCTGCAGTTGGTCATTCTAAAAAGAACAGTTAAGAAAAAGGAAAAGAAAATGTAGATCTACAAAATTCATATAGCTTTGTAGTGTTGCTGGAGCTCTTGGGCTCTGCTACATCAAAAGACAGTAGGCATTTTGTTGACTTGGGTGTTTTATTTCCAGTCTTAGTAATATATGATCCAGAAAAATAAGACCATGTTGAACGGAACCACAAAAAAGTTGTATGATGTCATCAGCACTCAACGCTAAAATACTGAACAAGGGAGATTAGGGGCACAGATGTGTGACTTCTAGTCCCACCCCCCTTTGGCACACAATGACAGGGGCACACTCTGACATGATTAAGTGTATTGTAGACCCTGAAATATGGAATCCATAAAGCTCAAGGCTCTGAGGCATATTCTGATCTCTGTCTTACAAGGAGGAGATCTTCATCTCTGAGCTAAAAGCCCTCGTGCATTTCTTCTGAGATCTATCAAGTAACAACAGGGCTTGGGGAGGAGGAGTTGGCGTTTGTGAAGTCAGGGCATTGGCCAATTGGAATTGCATCATTGTGTGATGCCTCCCTCAAAGGAACACCTGTCTATTTGCTGTGATATGTGGTTCAGAACAGTTCAATTTGGACTTTCATTAACATGAACTTACTTGATTTAATGTCAAGATAGGTGAGTGCCTTCATGAATATTAGGTTTTATTTTTATTTTCCTTCCTTCCCCAAAGCCTAAACCATGACAAACAATTATCAGGGGATCTGACCTAGTATGTTGCTTTCACTTTCAGCCAACACAAGGGGACTTTACCATCCATCCCTACATAATTGAGTTGGTCATGAACTTCAAAATCATCCATTAATCCAATCCTTAAAAAAAAAGTAAGACACTGAGCAGTTACAAGCCATATCTTTTATCAATGGAGCAGCAAAGAAAGGCTTATATTCTAATACTTCCCTGTTTAGTCTTTGAAGATTAAGAAGGAGGGGAAAGAACCATGATACAGTCAGTCTCAGTAATTGTTCATGAACGCTTTTCTAAGTCTCCACCTGCGCTCCATCCATGAGCTCAAAGACATGCACGCCTCTATTTGGAGAGCAACAGTGTTGTCCTTATTTCTCAAAAACCCTTTCGAGAGTACCCCCGCCACCCTTTCCCTGCTAAGTCCTTAATCTCACTCATCCCTGCTTCTTCCCTAGTGAGGTAGGGAGATCCTAAACACACCACCAATTGCTTCTCGTAGTAGATCAGTCGCCACATTGCTGGGGGTGACTGAGTGTTCCTGAACTACAAGAAATGGTTCACATCTTCAGGGCCTTCAGGAACTAGAGCATGCACCTGAAGGGGAACTTGCTGGGGAGGGAGGGAGGAGGAGCGGGGAGGCCTGTTGGTGTGTGTGTTCACAGATGTCCTGGTGGCTATGTGGTACCTGAGAGTCCTTGCTTTTGCTGTTAAAGCTGCATGCACATTCCACCACGTGTTGGGTTGTGCTTTGATATGATAGATTAAGCATTGAGAAGGAACAGTGTAGAAGAGAGAGAGATGCTGGGCTTTGATGGGTGACTTAGCCAGCTCACCTTTCTAAACAGTGGTCCTCACATAATCTTCCTAAAGGAAGCCCCAGTAATTGAAATTTGCCTGAGTATGTGGAGCGCTTTCACTGACCTCATCTAGTCTATATGGGCGGCTCAATACATTGCTAATGAATGAATATTGATCGAATTTCTCTTGCGAGCGCTGCCTCTGCTCCCTTGGAGGAACATACTAATGGCATGCTGTGTGGTTCATAAAGTCCAAGTTGAACCCTGGATCTTTGAAACAAGCAACAAAAAAGGAGGTTCTGTTATCAGTCAAATGGCCCAAGACCACCCAGCCAGTCCACCACACTCGTGGTGTCAAAAGTCAAAACACAGAGATTATCTGGTTTATTATGGTCCAGAATCATCATTTCAGGGGGAGTCTCCCAGAGTCAAAATACTACTTCACACTGGAAAGACCCAGGAGGGCCATGTGTCTAGCGACCTCCGACGTAAAGGAAGTCTATGGATTCCTGGGATCCACTGGAGGTCAGGGTTTGATCATGAGCAAACTTCATCTCATTCTAACCAGTGAAAGAACTGATCAGGGGCCTGGTAGATTCTGTACCAGATCAAGACATGTTATTTTCATTCGGCCTCCAATAGAGGTAGCGATGGCCAGGCCAACCTTTGGTCTGTGACTTCGGCGAGAGAGGGCAAGATGAAGACCATCAAGCCAGAGCAGCAGTAACACCTGATGCCTTTCCTTCCAGTTTCCACAGGAGAGTGAGTTTTACTTGGGGTCTGGTCTGGAGGATGCCAAAATGCCTCTTTGGGCTTTGCCAGCCACAAAACAGGAATGGTTTTCATTAACATTTGTTGTTATGAGACTGTACTTCCAAGGAGATGTATTTCCGACCTCCGCTCCAATTATGGTATTAGTTTGCCTTTGGCTTGGCTGCTCCTGAAGGACTTGAATTTGAGTATCACTCGAGGCTGGCTTTTTAACATGTCAAAATACTACTACAACCCAACTCATCTCCTTTCCCCTCTTGCCTTCTCTGGTGGGTATGCCCCATGAGCATTTCCATTTTGGATTTGGAAACTGGCTCAAAGAAGAGGCGAGCACACTGAGATAACGTAGCCAGGAAGTGGCAGAAGCAAGACCTGACCCTTAGGAGTTCTGTCCCTGAAGAATCCATAGCTACTCTGCAACCCTGATTGTCTGCAGCGATATTAAATGAACAATCCTGTGATTGATACAGAGAGCTACCTTTGTGGTCCCACAGGTGGATGGAACTACAGCTGGGGAACCGTGATGGGAAATTTGCAGGGACTTTGGGCCAGAAGTTGAAGCAGACTTTCGAGGTGTGGGGATGCATGGTCTTGAGCTCGGCATCAAAGTTGAGTGAATGCACATGTCTTCGTGTTAAAGAACCATTCCAGGGCGGAACACGTATGGCTAGAAGTCAGCCTGATTGTCTCTTCTCGGCTCCCAGGTAGTGGCTGCTACTCTGGAGGGTCTGGAACCGTGAGGGATCCAGGTGGCAGGACTCTTGTGTGCATAAGCACGTTCTGTGGTTTCTCATTGAGGAGTCCCAGAACCTAGAAGACCCCTTTCCTTCAGCTTTGCAGACAAATGAAGATCATGGGCCATGTGCTTAGTGATTTAGGAAGACAATGACTCACGGAAGTGGCATGGCGGCAGGATTCAGAAATATCAGAGCCCAGTAGAGTGAACACCCGACCGTTCTGGGAGAATTCCTTTCACTTCTTCTGGGAGATGTGGCAGCATTTTGAGTAGTTGCCTATATATTTCAAGATCCTCTAATGTAGGTATCTTGAGAATCTTTTAGAATATGACCTCTCAGTCACCCCTGTGGTTGAGGAATAAGTCACTGCCCGCTAAAACTAGGAGAAAGCTACAGTTGCCGTGGCTTTCTCAGTGACGGTAGCGGTAGCTCTTCACCCCCAATACATCGGAGTCTTTCTCCTCTCCGTACATCCAGGAGGATTTCTCTGCTGTAGCAGATCAGTGAGTTTTGTGGCTCCTGGTTCTGGGAACCCTCTCATCTTTTCCTGATTGGCACTAGTTGTCTATCCATGTGTCTTTGAAGGGAAGGGAGATGGCTCATTATTGTCCTCACTTTGAACATCTCCTGGAAGAGTTGCCTAGAACCTTGGCCGTTAAGATCACAGAGATTTCTCACATGAATGTACACTAGACTCTCTCAAACTTGAAAGCCTGAGAGAGGAACCGTTGGGCTCTATGATTAAAAAATGCAAGGAGGTTGGCCTTTTGGTTGTTTGGAAGATGCTTGTTTGCATATAGGTGACAATCCATTGATTTCAGAGCTATCCTGAGATGCCCCCAGCCAGGAATGGGAAACACTTTTCTTGGGATTTGGGGCTGTAACCCCAATCTAGTCTTTGATGAGAGGAGTGCTTATTGTCTCCATCCTGAACCCACAGAGGCCCCATAAGTCAAGGGGTTGATCAGATGCTACCACCACAGAACTGTCAGGGGGTCTGTGAGACCTTGTCTTTCTTTCACCAGCACGTGGCACTGTACTCTGTTTAGCTGTGATTATTTAGTGCTAAGTGGAATGAGGTTGAGTTGGAATATAGACATGTCCATAATGCTTTCGTTTGGAAGACAGATTGAGTTGCAGCTGGATCTGGCATGGGTACAATGGATGTGAAGCCCAATGCCTTTGTCCTTACCCTACCCCCACCCCCCTCTTTGGGGCTCTCTGCTTCCTGAATGCTGTTGACTATGGCTCTTTCCCAGCCACTGAGGACTGCCCAGAGCAGAGCTTTCAACCCAAGTAAAAACAACAGCTGGTCTCAAATGTGGACTCTGGATGAAGCAAATCAACTAGCAATGAATTACACCTGTCACAGTGGAACCCAAATGGGTTGTCCTTGGCTCTTATTTGGCAAAGTCTCCAAAACTCAAATTCAGAGGGTAATGAAATGGTATGGCAAGCTAGATGGGATGAGAGGCACTGCTCTCTGGGGCCAGGTGAGCCTCTGCTGTCTCCTTGCTTACCTGGACAGACCAGGGCACACACTTGGACTCTTCACTGGGCCTGTGGAGAGACCCAGACATCAGTTGAGCCTCCCCAGGAAAGTGAAAAAAGCTCCTTCTCGAAAGAAGTGGTAGAACCTGGGGCACATTCTCCTTGTATAGTGCATGGCCAACTTGCGACTCACATGGGTTCGTCTAAGTTCCCTGAACTTAGATGCAGGGAGGACATTGCAGCCCCAAGGGGCTCTGTAGAGATTGGAGCCACCCATTCTGATCACCAGTTTGAAAACTCAACAACTCACTGCCATCAAGTCCGTTCTGACTTACAGCGACCCTGTAGGACAGGGTAGGAACTGCCTCGGTGCGATCTCTCTCCCTAGGAGT